TACAATAGTAGGACCAGGCATAGGATAGACATTCCCATTCCCAAGGGAGAAGTAGGAGAGAAGAAATTCATAACAGGCACTTCCCAAGTCCAGAATCCAACAGAGCGAACATTAAGTCTTCTTTTTCTTTGAGACCGAGTTTCTCTTTTGTTGCCCAGGCTGGAGTGCAATGATGCAAGCGCCCCTCACTGCAACCTTCACCGCCCAGGTTCAAGCTGTTCTCCTGCCTCAGCTTCCGCAGTAGCTGGGATGACAGGCACATGCCACCACACCCAGCTAATTTTTGTATGTTTTTTTCAGGAGAGATGGGGTTTTGCCATGTTGGCCAGGCTGGTTTCAAACTCCCGACCTCAGGTGATCCACCTGCCTTGGCTTCTCAAAGTGCTGGGATTACAGGCATGAGCCACCGCAGCCAGCCAACATTAAATCTTAAGTTGTGAAAATAATCCTCTTTGGTTCCATGTCCCACCTTCCGGACATACTGGGTTGGTGAACCTGTCTCCACAGCTTTGGGCCACCCTGCTCCCAGGACAGCTTGGCGCCTGGCTTGCACCCTGGCCCCCGGGGCTACAGTCACACAGTGGCTGCTCTACTTTTCTGAGTCAAGGGAGCAGACCCACCCCAGTTCTGCTGGACACTGAGCTTCCTAGGGACTCTCTGGTGGCCCCACAGTCCCGGAGGCTTTTGTACTTTAGGCTTTATAAGGACACTAATTCCATTCATGAGGGCTCTGTCCTCAGAACCTGCTCACCTCCCAAAAGCCCATCTCCAAACACTATCAAGTGAGGATTAGCTTTCAATATGTAAGTTTTGGGGAGGCAGAAACATTCAGACCACGGCAACCCTAGTAACACTATCTATAACTGCATATAATATACTGTGAACTAAATACCTCAGTGCAAAGATACTGTCAGACTGGATTAAAACAAGCATTCTAATGCTTACATGGAACCTACTTTAAATACAAAGACACAGAAAGGTTTAACGTAAAAAGATGTTTTTTACAAAAGTTACTCCATGATAATATCATTGGAAACACAGTTAACGTGGCTATCATACAATGAAAGTGGCTGCATACAGCAGGAAGTGGAAACCTAGTCAACGCTCTTATAATGGCAAAAGGTGAGTAACATATGCTGATAATATTATAATTATATGTGATACAGTCTACAACGCTAAATTCATAATCATTGATAAAATCAAATAGCATAATGATAAAATCATTATAATCAGGCTTTCAAGAAAACAGGGTACATTCCACAGGAAAATACAGCGATCTGAAACTTGGGTGCCCTCAGTGAAACAGCATCAAATGATGTAGTGAGAATTGGCCAGTCACAGTGGCTCGAGCCTGTAATCCCAGCACTTCAGGAGGCTGAGGTGGGCAGATCACTTGAGGTAGGAAGTTCGAGACCAGTCTGGCCAACATGGTGAAACCACATCCCTACAAAAAAAAAAAAAAAAAATTAGCTGGGTGTGGTGGTGCGCCCCTACAGACCCAGCTACTTGGGAGGCTGAAGCAGGAGAATCATTTGAACCTGGAGACGCAGGCTTCTGTTACTGCACTTCAGCCTGGGTGACAGAGTGAGAGAGACTCAATCTCAAAAAAAAAAAAAAAAGTAGTGAAAATTGACAGCATATAATGAAGGCGTAAGCAGAGAAATTCACACGTATTCATGAAAATCTTTTCCCCTATTCTTTCAGTAACAAATGACAATTCGATAGAAATATGAACAGAAGCCAGGTGTGGTGGCTCACGCATGTAGTCCCAGCACTTTGGGAGGCTGAGTCTGGTAGATCGCTGAGCTCAGGAGCTCAACACCAGCCTGGGCAACATGGTGAGACCCCATCTCTATGAAAAATACAAAAAATTAGCCTGGCGTGGTGATGCTAATTACACCTGTAATCCCAGCTACTTGGGGGGCTGAGAGGGGAGGATTGCTTGTGCCCAGGAGATTGAGGCCGCAGTGAGTGGCAATTGCTCCATTGTACTCCAGCCTGGTGACAAAGCAAGAGCCTGTCTCAGAAAAAAAAAAATAAATCAATAGAGAAATTTGAACAACATAGTAGGTTTGACTAATTGACACATGTACAGTTTTGCCCAACAAATGCAAAACAATGTTGCAAGTACACATGAACATGAAATAATTGGAAAATAACTATATACTGGGTGGTAAGTTTCAAAAATTATGAATTGAAGTCATATTGAGTATGCTCTCAGTTTACAGTGCAGTTAAGCTGGAAATCCACGATAAAAAAAGGCTAGAAAATCTCTAAACGGTTGAAGGTGACCAACTGTATGCATACATGTGTGTCTGTATACACACCTATACAGATAAACGTGTGTTTGTATGTGGTATATATATTATATATTTTTTCTTTTATTTACATTGTATGGTGTTTTATCATAATAACGTTTCTTAGAGACATAGCTTAAGAATCTCCTGTTATCTTTTCATAGAAAGCATGAAACTGCAGGGGAGCTGATTTGTACACAACCTGGTAAAAGGAAAATCGTGTAGGTAAATTCCAGGGAGCTTTTATACAGTGAATTCCCCTGTCAGTGGTTTTGGAGTCCTTGGTTTCAGTTACTGTGGTCTGAAAATATCAAACAGAAAATTCCAGGACTAAACAGTTCCTAAGTTTTCCATTGTGTGGGGTTCTCACTGACAGATGAGATCCTGCCGTCTCACTCCCTCCCACAGGAGGTGAGTCCTCCCTTTGACCAGCGTTTCCCTGCTGTCCACCTGTTAGTCACTTCACAGTCTGGGTTATCAGGTGACTGTGGCAACGTCCAGTGCAGTGTGTTTAAGTCGCCCTGATTTTACTGACTCTTTGCCTTTATTTCTCTCTGCTGCCAAAACGCAAGAGAATTAATTGATGCTTGCGATTAAGATATGCCAAAGATTGGGAGGCCGAGGCGGGTGGGTCACAAGGTCAAGAGATCGAGACCATACTGGTCAACATGGTGAAACCCCGTCTCTACTAAAAATACAAAAACTTAGCTGGGCACGGTGGCGCGTGCCTGTAATCCCAGCTACTCGGGAGGCTGAGGCAGGAGAATTGCCTGAACCCAGGAGGCAGAGGTTGCGGTGAGCCGAGATCGCGCCATTGCACTCCAGCCTGGGCAACAAGAGCGAAACTCCGTCTCAAAAAAAAAAAAAAAAAAAAAAAAAAAAGATATGCCAAACAGAAGCCACGAACGCCTCCTTTAGGTTAAAAGGTAAAAATTCTGGACTTTATAAGGAAAGAAAAAAATCATATACAGAGGTTGCCAAGGTCTACTAAAAACAAATCTTCTATCCATGAATATGTGAAGAAGAAAAAAGAAAGGCAGCTAGGTTTGCTGTCGCATCATTTGTGGGTAGAACAGAAACATCTTCCCATTGATGGCACCCGGGACTATCCATGGCTTAAGGCATCCACGAGGGCTCTTGGAACAAACCCCCCCAAGGGTATGGGGGGGGGGGGCTACTGTATTTCTGGCCTCACATTCTTTTACTGGCGACTTTAGTCTCTCCGGATCTCAGGCCCTATTCTCTAAGGTGTATCCCAGAGGAGGAGAAATGCACTTTATCTGGGCTTTGCCTGCTTTTGTGGAAGGGAAGGTTACTAGAGGATATAATCTGGTGTTTTAATTTATTGTCTCTCCTACAGGGAATGTGGAGAAAAAAACCACAGAAATTGGAAAGAACCAATATTTAGTTTATTTCATTCGATTCTCAGGGCAACTGGTGAGGAGCCTAAGATAATTTTCCCTTCCCAGAGGAAGAATCCAAGGTCTAGGGAAACAGCGACAAGGGAGTCCAAGACTGCCCCTGCCAGGCCTTCCTTGGCTACTCCCCGCTGCGACTGCAGGATGAGAATCCGGCATGTGTGTGGATGAGAGTGTGTTGAACAACTTGCAACCTTTTATGAAATATGCATTGTCATGCTTGCATTGTGATGGTTTCCTAAAATGCTTTCCGGAAGACTTTTGTCTTGGCTAATCAAGTCTTTACTTATACAAAATTTGAGAAAACATGCTAACAACCTTCTTATTCCCTTGAAGACCAGAGTAGGAGAAAACAGTAGATTTGCATTATAAAATTGCACTCACTTTGTCCTTCTTTCGGATTTCACATTGCAAAAGCCCATCATCTGTGGTACAGTGTTTTAAACAATGGAACGGGAGCCCCCCCCCCTGCACTGTTTTCCTTTAAAAATAGATCACTAACACCCTAACTTTGTTTTTCTTAAATTCGAGTCTTAACAGGAGAGCTGTCTATTATTTCAAATGAAGTGAGGTTGCACTACTGGGAGGGAAGAAAGAAATCCATTAATTTTGGGGGGATTTCTGTTCTCTGTTAGTCCAAGACCACCTTACTTGGGGTGTGGGGTGCGCGCGGCGGTCCGGGCAGTGGAGCGCAGTCGCGGCTGCGCCAACCCTGCACTTCCAGGCGCGCGGGAGGGACCGGCGGGGACGCGAGTTGCGGACTCCAGCGAGCTCGGGGAGGCAGACAAGGGGAGGCGGACACAGCCGGCAGGCGCCCCAGCCTTCCCGCCGCCGGCCGGTTCTTTTCCTGACAGCTCCAGGCAAGGCAGACTCTTTCCGCAGCCAGCCAGGTAAGGTAAAGACTGCTGTTGAGTTTGCTGTTACCGAGGGCGCACAGACCCTAGGGAGACCGAAGCTTGCCCCTGCGGGATTCGGTGGGGTGACCTGGGTCTACTGACGTGTCCTAAAAGAGGGGAGAAGGGTTGACCTTTTTTCCTACAAAGGGAAGGATTCTTTTCTCTAGCATTTCGTTTGATGTATTTGATTGGAAGAAGTGAGATTTCAACAGGTAGCAGAGAGCGCTCACGTGGAGGTGGTTTGGGGCGCCGCGGCTCAACCCCTCCCCGGGACAGCGGCTTTTTCTAAAGCTACACATGCTAACCTATGCTTTCAATTCCCCTTCCCAGCCCCGTGAGTCCGCGGCGACAGTGGGTCGTGGGGTGGCTGGGTACGGCCCCCTCCTCCGGAAAGACCAGAGAAGGGCTTGGACAGCTGAAGCCTGCGTCCGCGAGCAGGTCCGTGCGGACCCCGGCTTCAGGCCCGCTGAGTCCTGCGGGGCGGCCGTGGGGGACGCCAGGTCGCCGGCTCCTCTGTCCTGGTCGAGATGGACAACGCCTCGTTCTCGGAGCCCTGGCCCGCCAACGCATCGTGCCCGGGTCCCACGCTGGGCTGCTCCAACGCGTCGAGTCTGGCCCAGCTGCCGGCGCCGCTGGCGGTGGCCGTGCCAGTCGTGTACGCGGTGATCTGCGCCGTGGGGCTGGCAGGCAACTCCGCGGTGCTGTACGTGCTGCTGCGGGCGCCCCGCATGAAGACCGTCACCAACCTGTTCATCCTCAACCTGGCCATCGCCGACGAGCTCTTCACGCTGGTGCTGCCCATCAACATCGCCGACTTCCTGCTGCGGCAGTGGCCCTTCGGGGAGCTCATGTGCAAGCTCATCGTGGCCATCGACCAGTACAACACCTTCTCCAGCCTCTACTTCCTCACCGTCATGAGCGCCGACCGCTACCTGGTGGTGATGGCCACCGCGGAGTCACGCCGGGTGTCCGGCCGCACCTACGGCGCCGCGCGCGCGGTCAGCCTGGCCGTGTGGGGGCTCGTGACTCTCGTCGTCCTGCCCTTCGCTGTCTTCGCCCGGCTCGACGACGAGCAGGGCCGGCGCCAGTGCGTGCTGATCTTCCCGCAGCCCGAGGCCTTCTGGTGGCGCGCGAGCCGCCTCTATACGTTCGTGCTGGGCTTCGCCATCCCGGTGTCCACTATCTGCGTCCTCTACACCACCCTGCTGTGCCGGCTGCACGCCATGCGGCTGGACAGCCACGCCAAGGCCCTGGAGCGCGCCAAGAAGCGGGTGACCTTCCTGGTGGTGGCGATCCTGGCCGTGTGTCTCCTCTGCTGGACGCCCTACCACGTGAGCACGGTGGTGGCGCTCACCACCGACCTCCCGCAGACGCCGCTCGTCATCGCCATCTCCTACTTCATCACCAGCCTGAGCTACGCCAACAGCTGCCTCAACCCCTTCCTCTACGCCTTCCTGGACGGCAGCTTCCGCAGGAACCTCCGCCAGCTGATAAGGTGCCGCTCGACCTCCTGACGCCCCGAGCATCGGGCTCCCCACCGGCCCCGCCACCCCGGGCCCGCGCAGGAGGAACCGGCGCCAGCGGCCAGAGTGCGGGACCGGAGAGGCAGCCTCGGCGTCGCGGGGAAACTGACTCGCGCCCCACCCCCGACCTAGCGGATGGGGAGCGCTGCCGATGCGCCCACAGGTTGACCTTGCCAAGCCCTCCTGGTGATGCGCGACCACGCTGGGTGAGGAGCACCGCGGCTGAGATCGCCACGCTGATCACTCCCTAACGCCAAGGTCAGGGGTTGACCCTCGAGTTTGGCACGCAGACCCTTGCGGAGGTGGAGGAGGACAGAGGAGGAGGGCGCTATTGCTGCGACCCGCCCCCTCCCTGCGGTGCTCCGGGCTACCCGACCCCAGCCCTAGCCGTCTGCCACCTGGCTGGCTTTAGGGGAGGCCGGAGGACGCTGCGAGCGCCCCCGGGCGTCGGCTCCCCCCGGCCTCTGCTCTGCTTGGCGCACAGCCGCGGCCGGTCCCTGCGTCCCCCGCGCGCCCTGGGAAGACTGTCAGGCGCGCGCATTCGCGCCCGTGCCCGTGAGACGCGCTTGGCCCGGACAGCTGCCGCGGGCGCCAGCACCTCTACAACGGGGCAAAAGACAACTCGGGGTGCCCTGCGGGTGTGTGTACATCCCGGTGTGTGTGTGGTGCTCGCGCTTGCGGAGGCGTGGGATGCGGGGAAGGAGGCTGGCGCTTGGCTGTGACTGTCGAGAATATGATAATAGTGATCCTTCCTCCTGCCCCAACTCCTCCTTTCTCTGCCTTTCGCGTTTCTTACCCGTGATCCCCCCCTGAAAATATCTCAGAATCCCAGAGCCAAGAACCCGGAGACGCGCGATTAATTCCGGCGCCCCCTGGAGGAGCCAGCGGCCGGGCACTGAGCGTCGGGGCACCGCGGGGTTCTGCGGCGGAACAACGGGGCTGAGCGCGCTCCACGGGGATGAGGCGCCCTGGTCACCGTCACTTCCAGAGGACGCCAAGCCCCACGCCCGGTTCCCACAACTGGCTTCGCCTCTTGTCTGACTTCGACCCGTCTGTTGTAACTGTTCATTAAGTACTGTTTTCCAGGACTGAGAACTTTATAAATAATGTTCATGCCCTAATCTCACGAGTTGCCATGAAGATCAAGTAAGATAAAAAGAAATGGGATGCACTCCCTTGTGTCCCCCTTCTCCTCTGTGCTTCCTGGGGTCCGCCTTAGGCAGAGCAGGAAGCAGGGGTGACCGAAGGCTTTCGGATTTTCTCTGCTGGGCTTTCCACAGGAAGCTGTGAAATACAGCTGGGCTTTATCCCTTAGTTAGAGGGCTAAACCGGTAAGATACTGGTTCTGCGGTCACCAGGGAGACTGGCCAGCATCCTACCTTTGCTTTGATCTCTGCATATGGAAGAAAAAGTGGGTTAAGATACTGGACTCATATTGGGTTTGCCCTGTCCTCTGCAGTTTAGCCTTAGACATGAGGGCCGAATCTTAACAAAACTCTGGTCACCGATAATGGTGTTTTAAAAGGCATTAACCCTTGGATGAAAATTTCTAGAAATGTTTGTTTCCCGTGTCGTGTGTGAGAAATGTGTGTGTTTTTGTTTACTTAGTTGTTCAACTGGCATCTTTAATCAATTTCTCAGTTATTCAGGTTGAAAACAGCTTTTAATACATATTTGGAAGGAAAAAAAAAAAACACGCCCTTGGAATGGGGGAAAGCAAGCCCCTTCTCTGATTTTGGTGAATGAGAATTGCTTTCTTAGCTCTCAGACTTATTAGGAACATCGAAATAATTCATAGCCGTCAGTTTAGAAAATATACATTAAAAAACCTTCTGTCTTGGGCGGCAAATAATAGTAAATTGTTCAAAAAAAGGTTTTCATCTGCAGTGAGTTTCGAATGGTGAACCTCATGGCTTTTGAATAGGCCGGCTTTCAGAGGCTTCTTGGAATTCATTTTAGCATCCTTAGAATTTCTAGGAAACAGTCTATTGATTTTCCTTAAAATTCTCAAAATTATTTCATTAATCCTCTGTAACTTTTCAAAATTAAAGTTTTAAACTTTGAGTAACTTCTAGATTACCTAAGGGGATGGGCAGAGTAAGGCGAACATGTGTGTACAAACACAGCCAGCCATGACGGTCTGGATTCAGTATGTCATCTGTCTTAATAAGCTCAGTAACTGGACACAGATGGAGGACAGCTGAGTGATCCATCTGTCCACTGCTTCATCCCCACGGTAGATCGGCCTGGAGCTGTCTTGGAATCTATGGAAATGGCTGCTGGAAAAATACACAAGTTGACATTGCTGTTCATCCCAAGCAAGGCATGGATTGGCTTCTGAGTAAGCCTGTGGGATTAAGTAGGACTTAGTAGTTCAGTTTCTCCCAGACTTTCTGATCATTGGATAAACTGTTGTGTTATTTCTAGGCCATTGCCCTTCCTATGAGCATGTAGAACATACTTCTTAGGCGTCCGTTCTATGTCTTGGGTAATAGGTTGAATAAATACGCACGTAAGCCAGGCAAAAGTAGAATTTATTTACCTCATTGTACTGCGAAGGTTTTAACACTGTATTGAATTCTTGTAGTTTCTGTGTAAACTCTATGATTTGGCTTTACTGCTTTGAACAGTTAAAAACGTCTATTTGCTTTTACTTATTTTAGTACAGTTATATAATGTATATGCTTATGTTTTCTCTTGAAAAATGCAGAAACTCTATAGTCCATCGCAGAGGAGCTCGGTTTAAAATAAAAGCTGAAACATTCCGTGTGATAGTGAACGGTCTATTTTCTGAGAACATGTTATCCATAGTTCAGTCACCTCAGCATTTAGGTTGAATATATGCTGTGTAGTATTATTATTTAAAACTATTGCCTTCACTGGAAAAGTGATCTAATGCACACTCAGTGAACATATAGAAGTATTTGACAGGACCAGGTTAAGAATGAACAGGGCCGGGCGCGGTGGCTTATGCCTGTAATCCCTGCACTTTGGGAGGCCGAGGCGGGTGGATCATGAGGTCAAGAGATCAAGACCATCCTGGTCAACATGGCGAACATCTCTACTAAAAATACAAAAAATTAGCTGGGCATGGTGGCACGTGCCTGTAATCCCAGCTACTCAGGAGGCTGAGGCAGGAGAATTGCCTGAACCCAGGAGGCGGAGGTTGCAGTGAGCCAAGATCGTGCCATTGCACTCCAGTCTGGGTAACTAGAGCAAAACTCCATCTCAAAAAAAAAAGAATGAACAGCCCCACCCCACCTTTTAATTTAGTTGATTGTGTAAATGATGTAAAGCTGCTGATATACACAGATTCCAGAACTTACACTGGGCAGAGAAAGGATGCTAATCTTTTATCATATCGTCAAAAGCCTCATTTCTTAAATATTGGAGCAGCTATGTGGAGGGCGAGAAGGGAAGAGAAATTGCTTAAGTTTTTAGCATACACGTTGCTATCAGCAGTATGCATAGACACAGCACAAATATGCAAGGTGGAGAATCTCACCTGAAAAACCCATGCACTTACTATAAACCCTTCTTTCCTCAGTAGCATTCTGGGAAAACAGCGACTCAAAAAACAATAACTCAACTTGGATATTAATCATCTATGCTCATGCACATTAAGAAAGAGATCAGAGAATCCTGACCATAATGGTCCTTTATTATGGCCTCTGGGTCCGGCACTTGGGCCTCCGTTTTACATACAAAAAAAAAGTGAGTATAAGGACGTGGATGAATGTAGCCAGAGCCACAGAGATCAGTGAAGAGCAGTCGGAACCACCTGGTCCCCATGCTGTTCTAGGAATTGTGTCATCTTGTGTAAGCCGAGATAGAATTGGTCGCAATGTGTAAGCTGGGAGTATTAGACTACAAAACAATGATGCCTTTTGAATATTTAGTAGATTAAGCAAGACGTATCCACCATTAGCTCATACGGGATAAAGGGAGGGTAAAATTTAATAATAAAACTTCAATCTTAATTCAGAAACTTACAAATGTATGGGATTGTTGATAGTTATATGAGAACAAAAATTCCTAACTGAGCTGGCACACAGAGGCACCATGTGCACAGCAGCCCCCATGCTTTATGTACGGGGAGCTGTGCTCGAGAGGCACTGTTCATACAGGATACGATGCTAATGGTACCTCTGTTTCTACAGAATGGAGCTTTGCAATGGATGACGCTGTCCTTGAACATAGGGCTGGGGATGTTTGTTTATATCAGATCTCATAATGTTACATTGGTGACATCACATTAAATAGAAAGGAAAGATGGGAAAAGGGAAGGAAATTTAAAATGATATTGTTCAGAATCTGTCAGAATGTAGGAACTGCATGCTTCCCACAGTCCTGAAGATTTGTCTTGTGCCTGGAGGGCAGTAGTGCACACAGACCTGATGCCCTGCTGGGCCAAGACCCAGAGAACAGCTCAGCATTTTCCTGTAAAGTCTGGATTCTCTCACAAAGATTGCTAATCCAGAAGGTTATCTCACCTGCTTTCTGAGATAACCTCACCAAGGACCACAGTCACAACTGCAGTAACCAGGCCCCCGAGCACCATGGAAAGTGTGGGTGGAATTTCACTCTCAGTTGTGTGCAGTCAACAATATGGGAGAAATTGCAAGTGTTCCCAAAGGTGAGGGGCAAATCATTTGTGAGGCCCAAAACAAGACGGATATCTTAAATCATTCATCCATTTGGCGAAGCAGCTTCTTCCTTTAGGCAGTGATGAATGATCTGGCAGAGGAGGAAAGCCCAGTCCTCTTCAGTCACCGTGGTGAGAATGCAGCAGTCAAACCTGAAAAGACATAAATATTCACATCTGCAAAAGTACCAAGTGAATTACCCACTTCTCCCACATAACACTGTTTTGATACCTAAACTCCTCTCTTCCAATAAAAATACCACTCCTCATTGCTGCATTTCTATTCATTCTCTTTACAGAAGAATTCCAGGGGTCCTAGTTAAAAGGAAGTTATATACTTTCTTTAAAATAACTGCATTTAAGATTTATCCTGACAATTTATTATTATGGTTAAAGATTATAGTGAACCTTTAGACACATTTATTTAAAATGAAAACGTATTTTAAATGTACAGATTGTTAAGTAATGAGGTTTCTTGTGACTTTGATACTTTT